GGGAGCGGGCATTTGCAGCGGCGGGGAGATGGGGGGTGCATCGCAGTGGCTAGCTGTTGCTACAGCTAGCCAGCTGCAGCGAGCTGCAGCTAGCTGTAGCTAGCTAGCTTTGGCTAGCTAGCTGTGGCTAGCTGTGGCTTGCTAGCTCTGCAAGCTCTCTTCCGCACGTTAGGGCCTTCTTAATGGCACAAAGAAGGGCCCCCTTGGGAGAGTTTTGAGGAGGGTTTAGGGTTTAGGGTTTAGGGTTTGAAGGGAAAGCTGCACGAGCGAATTCTCACTTCTCGCTTTTGCCGCTGCTGAAGCCGCGAGCTGAGGTGTACGTACACCCTAAACCCTAGTGCTCAACCAGCAGGAGCGAAGAGCAGCGTCTTGTCAAATGCATTTAAGGCTTAGGGTTTAGGATTTAGGGTTTAGGGTTTAAGGTTTGGTGCTCGGTGTTGTCAGCTTGTTGGTCCTCGGGTGCTCTCAGAACATTTTGAGGGTGCAACAAACCCTTTTTCAGGGTTTGGGGTTTGGGGTTTGGGAGTGTCCACAAGGACTTCTGCGGCGGCAGCGGCTGTCTGGCTAGTTGTGGAGTTTGTAGAATTTGATTAAAGTAAAAAATAGAAATAAATTAAATTAATTTGAATTTCAATTTACTAATTTTAGCGTCTGTGCGGCATCTTGGGATGCAGCGGCGTGGTGTCCGTACACCCGAGGGGGGCCCCCCGCCGCGGCATTTCGAGCCAACTGCGGAGTTAATAAACACTTTTTCTTGAAAATAAGAATTAAAATTAAAAGAAATGAATAAAAGTGGCGAATAAAAAGAAGAAGCGGCTTCGGTAGCTGGCGCTGAGGTGTACATACACCGCAGCTCCGGCGGCCCGTCGGCGGCGCCGCAGTGTTCGTCTGCACCAACCAAAAGTATAATAATTCATCTTTTGTCTTTTTGTTTCTTTTAATTAATTAGTTTGTTTGCATGCATGCAATTAGAGCATTATTTGCGAACTTTCTATCGCCGCGGCCTCCGCGCCGTTGACCCTTTGGCTCCTGCGGCACTCAGCGCCTAGGGTTTAGGGTTTAGGGTTTAGGGTTTAGGGTTTACACTTTCTACGCCCCCGCCTCCCCCTGCAAACCCTCGCTCCCCGCAAAACGCATGCAGCCCCAAAACCCTTTTCAAAACCCTCAACTGCACTCCCTAAAGGAGCTCCAAGGTACCTGAGGGGCCCCCGGGGCCCCCCGCCAAACCCTGGGGGCCCCCCGAGGCCCCCTGGTACCCTTTTAAACCCTCCGAGGGCCCCTGAGGGTCCTTGGGGGCCCCCCTTGTGGGCTTTGCCCCCGCTGGCCGCAGTGCCCTCTCGCGGCGTCGAGGGCCCCAAGCCCCAAACCCTAAACCCTAAACCCTAAACCCTAAACCCTAAACCCTCAAATGAAAGCCCTCATCCTCGTGGGGGGCTACGGCACCCGCCTCCGCCCCCTCACTCTCTCCGTTCCAAAACCTCTTATTCAGTTTTGCAACAGGTCCATAATTGAGTACCAAATCGCTTCTTTCAAACGAGTACGCAAACCCTAAACCCTAAACCCTAAACCCTAAGCCCTAAACCCTAATTCGCGCTAGAGGCAGCTTCCAGGGGCACGCCTGATACCCCCGTGGGCAGCAGAGCTGCTGCGGCTACGGGTTTGAGGCGGAACGCACTAATCAGCGTTTAGGGTTTAGGGTTTAGGGTTTAGGGTTTAGGGTTTGAGGTTAAGATGCTTCACAGGCCGGAGTCAAACACCTGATTTTGGCTGTTGCTTACCAGTCTCAAGCCCTCATGGAGGCCTTGCAGGAACTGGAGGCAAAGGTAAACCCTAAACCCTAAACCCTAAACCCTAAACCCTAAACCCTAACCTTCCTGTAAGATTACTAGAGGCCTGCGGCTCACGTCTCTGCGTCGAAGGGCTTAGGGTTCGCGCTGTAGTGGGACCTACAGACAAGCATTTAGGGTTTAGGGTTTAGGGTTTAGGGTTTAGGGTTTAGGGTTTAGGGTTTGTGTCTCAGTACAATATAAAGATAAGCTGCTCCAAAGAAGACGAGCCTCTGGGGACTGCGGGGCCAATTCGACTTGCAGAGCACCTCCTTAGAAGCAACGAAGATGCAGCAGCAGCAGCAGCAGCCCCAGCAGCAGCAGAAGCAGCAGC